AATATCTGCGAAGCGCAATAAAACGAGGTATGCCTGTACAGTGATCCATATATATAGATATCTATATATATAGATAGATCGATAGATAGATAGCTATAGGCTATCCACCTATACACACACACATAGATATATAGGAGTACAGTGATATGTATCAATCAGTATTCATATATATCTATATGTGTATATATAGGTGGTTAGCCTCTAGGTATATATAGATATATAGCCTATATATAGACTGTATACATATAGATATATATAAATGCAATGATTGATATATATCAATCACGTAGTGATATGGATATATATCAATCACTGTATTCATATATATCTATATATATAGCTGCTTATTTTAACCCATCCTGGATGGTGCCCCCAGACGTAAGCAGTAGCAGTGCATAGTCCCATCAGTTTACATGAGCAACCTCAGCATCCCCAAATGCAGGTCACCAACAACAAAGCAGGTATGTCTAATAACTATATTGCTATATTGAAATATATACTGTATTCATCCTTAGTGTACAAAAACCAGTATGTGTGCCCTTCCAGAAATTTAATAAAACTATTGACAGATACTAAATTGCTTCTAAATCTGTACCAGGATTTGACAAAAACATAGCATGACTGTGCAGTTTCATGATACATTCACTTCATTGATTGAACTATACAGCTCAATACATTTTGGAGGCTTCTTTAACCATTTAGAATGGAGTTCTGCCCTACCTTCAATGTTTTCGTATGGCAACCATACTACAGTATTATATCATATTCCCATTATCCCCACTGTGTGCCAATAACAAGTTTTCATTGTGGATTTCCCAGTGGTAATATAATTTATAGAATATAATATCTACAACAGATTGATTAAAAGTTAGGTATTGGGAAATATTTGTCATGCCCATGTGCAAAATTAACAGAACATAATGCAGGATCATTTACATCCTATTTATAGCATTAGCTTTTCTTATACGACTGTTCTTTTTACATCTGTATATGTTTCTTTAAAAACAGAGTATCAGCAATATCCATCCCTATGTGTAAAAAAAAATCCAATACTTCTTTTGGGAGAGTGGCCATTAGTGTTTCTGAGACTAGGTGACTATGAGCACTGGTAAAACAAGTATCACACATCAGTTTTGGAATAGCTTCTATCATCAAGTCTCCATTGTAGGGACTGACTGTGTATTCCCCACCTACAGGTAACCCTTCTAATCCATGCAGTTCTGAGCCCTGCATATAACTCATAAGAGGAAAACTAATTAGCTCTGTATCTTTGCTGCAATCCTGTTTGTTAATAAAGAAGGCACAAAACCCTGTTTCCATGACCACAGGAAGAATCTTTGCTCCTTTCTCCAAGCCATTTTCACCTAACACTCAGCCCATAACTCCTGTCTAGACTTTCCTCTTAGGTCTATCTGGCTTTCTGCTCCTCCTGTGCATTTGTCTGAGATGTTTCTACTGCTCCCCTTTCTTGTATGTGTTTTTCTAAAAGCAGTACTAAGCTGTGCCCCTCTCCTAAGCCATTTAGTAGACTCACATGTAACTTTGTTTTGCAATGACACACACATTGACAGTACCAGCTACTATTGTTTCATAAAGGAGCTTAGCCAACCACAATCCAATGAATCTTATATGAAGGACTGCAGTTAAATCCATCAGCTTAATGTTTTGCCTGCCTCATAACACTACCTATATCTCCCCTATTTATTTCAATTGGAATTTCACACACAGGCCTGTACCTGAAAACACAAGTATGTACGTGAGTGTCCCCTTTTATTTCAATGGGATTGTACAAATGCATAAAATTGCAAATGTTTTAGTAAGGAAGGAGATAAAGAACATTTGCAAGATCACATTTTTCAGACCACGAGAAATCCACTCAGATTGTAAGTGAAACCTTCCCTGGTTTTCCCTCAATATGGAGCATAAGATCAGGATTCTAGGTTAAATAAAGCAGCAGAGGTACGTGCTGTGCTAGGTGGTGTAGTAGAAGATTTTCACTTTCTATTCTCGTATCTTAGGCCTAGTCCATACTACAAATGTTGCTTGAAGGTCTACAGCTCTGCATGAGAAACCCTTAAGGACATGCACTCTCATAGCCTCTCTGCAGTGCCAGGACCCTCCACTCTTCAGGCAAAATAAGTCCACCTGGGACTTATTAGCCAAGTAGGGTCAAGCACCTGTCACTGCCCAGCACCTGGCTGAAAGCAGCGGAAGACACTCATGTATATTTAGCTGGCTGCCACAGTCTCATTCAGCTACAAGTGCCTTCCCAGGGTGCACGCTGGTAGCACAGCTGCTGTAGTGGCAATGTGTAGATCTGCAGTGGCACATGGTGGCCTTGTGGCAGCTGCTGTTTACCAATAGAAATTTTGAAAGCTCAGGCAGATCTATGCAGGCAGACCCTATAGCACTGTTAAGCCTCCAGGCCAGATTTTGCTGTACAGTTAAGACCCTGGCATTGTTTTCCTTCTCTGACATCTCTTAACTGGAATTACCAGCTCCTAAAAGTATTGCCAGATTTATCCAAATCCAAGATGACACTGAATTTAAGATGACTCCCCATTAGATTCTATACATGGAAAATGTATATAATTGTTATGACTTTCCATGTACAAAATCCAATTATTGGAGGGTCATCTTAAATTCATCCCCTGCACTGCTGCATGGAGACCAGCCTGAAGCTGCTGCTGCCACGACTGCTGGCCAGCCAGACTAAATCTCCTCCTCCTTGTTCTGGGCTGGAAGCAGAGGGTAAGTGGCCGTAATAGGTGGGAGCAGGGAAGGCAGCAGTAGAGGGCAGAGGCAGCAGGGGAGGAAGGGGTGGGCAGTCGCTGCAGCTGTGACTCAGACCCCAGGTTCTAGCAGGAGTTGGAGCTTCAGTAGCTGCATCTGCATCCTCCCTGTGCCTGCTGATATGAGTATGTAAAACAAGCTATTTATATCTGGGAGGTAGTAACTTCCTTTATGACCAGTACAAAGCAACATACAAAATCCGTAACATGCTAATTAGAATACGAGCATGGAGAAAAAAGTTTAAATATAGAAGTGGTATCAGGCAGACGGCCAGCAAGAGATTACTAATATGTTTATGTTTTATAATAGCAACAAATTCAATGACCTGATACCATCTGGATGTACTCATTGTTAACACTGCTGCCAAATTTGTAGATCAGAAACATCATATTAAAATCTAAAAAAATAATATACATCATAACAAGTGTAAGCAAAAGGTAAAGGAATTTTTCATCTTGAATTCATGATCATATTGTCATACATAGCATATTCTAATATTATAAAAGCCTAAGTCTGTCTGTCTGTCCCTAATGCTTTATTCACGCTCTGATTGGCTGACAGAAACAGCCAATCAAAGTGCTCCAAGTGTGGAGGAGTGCTGCCATGATTCTGAAGTTACAGCCTTTTAAAGAAAAAAAAATCTCAGATACAGGTTGTAGCTGTGTTGGTCTACAGTAGTGGTTCCCAACCTCTTTTTTTTCCTGTGACCCACTGCTGGGAGCAGAGTGTGGCAGCAGCTTGGGGGTAGAGGAGCTCCCAGCACAGGACATGGCTCATCTTTTCTGTGTGGCACCACCAGCATTGCCCCCGCAACCCTCATTTGGGTAGCGACCCGGTGTTGGGAACTTCTGGTCTACAAGCAAAAGCAGTCAAAACTCTTGTTAGAAACAATATCTTTTATTAGACCAATTAATTATTTGCAAAAAAAAAAAAAAAAAAA